CGATATTTACTTATCATATAGTAGACTAAACTTCAATCTTTTTGCTGACGACACTCAAATTTTTTATAATCACTCTAACATTAAGACAATCTTTACAGCTATGAATCATGAACTTGATAACCTTAATGAATGATTTAAAGCCAAAAAACTCTTTCTTAACCCTGCAAATATACTCTCTTTTCTAAATCTTCTAAATCTGACACGTTACCTTTAAAACTCCCGGATATTTCAATATAAAAAACCAAATTGAAACGGACATTCTGTGTTAAATTCTTAGGTGTTTTAATTGATGAGCAAATAAGTTGGAAAGAGCATATTAATCTAGTCACGGCTGTTTCAAGCGAGCTTTACGGCTTCTTGTTGTTTTTTGAAAATATTAACGTAAGGGGTGTTACTAAAACTTTTATAACTTTTGAAACATTAGAGGTAATTTTGTTCTGTAAAAAGAATAAAAACACCAATAAAATGTTTTATTTGATGGCGTTTCACAGATATATTAAAAAACTTCTTTAATTTTAGAATAAACGCGGCAAATGTTAAACTTGGTTTAATATTAGTAATTTGATGTTACTTTTTATCAAAAAAAACTCAGAAAGAATATATTTTCGATAATTATTATTAAATATACACATTGTTGGACTATTATAAAAACAAAAAAATCTTACTTAAATGTTAAAAAATTTAAAACTAAAGCTTAATACCTAAAAATTTAAAGCTTAAGCTTTAAAGCATCCAATGTATAGTATTAGTATCTCGCTTTCACTAGAATGCATAGTGATAAATAAACTTCTTTATACAAATATAATACAAACAAATAAAATCAAATAATAATTATTGACAAATAACAAGTATGCAATAGATATTAGAGGATTTAACAACTTATCTGATGTTTGTAATTTTGCCACGAGAGAAAAAAAACCGCCAAAGTTTTTTTTATTTATACACTAAAATTTGTCTCGCTAAAAAAGCTGTTTTAATAAATTTAATTACATAGTGAATTGGGAATTAACGCATTTAAAGTTACGTCATTGCTTTAAAACATAAACAAAAATTTTACGCATGTAACTACAAATTTTTGCTAAAAGCAACAAAGTTTACCAAGGTTGAAGACGTTTTAGTTAGAAGTACAGAAAGTAATTTTTTTGATTTTCATGTGCATAGAGGGTTGATTTGGAGGGCATAATATAAATTAAACGTTTTTCATATAAAACAAGTAAAAACAAAAAAAAATAATGCTTAAAAAACTAAAACTATTTTTTTTATCTGTGCCCTCCAAAAATCTGATAAAATAGACATTCGTTTATAAGTATATAAAATTTCAATGATCAAGCATGTAGCTTAAAATATTAAATCTTGATTGGCCCAAGACAGGTTTTCCGTAAAATACGCAAAAAATAGAAAATTGATCCAAAATCATTTAAAATATTTTAATAATGCTTATTTTTATTTCGTTTCATGTAAATATTTATTTAACGAAGAAAGATAGTTCTTTTATATTTTTTTAATTCCAAGATAAAAGCGTTTATAGAAAAAAAATACTATTAATTTAAAGTTAGTGAATTTTTATACTTTTTATGCGGAAATTCTTTTTTTTTTTTTAACACAAAAATTCTTGTGACGTCAAGCTCGCTTTTATATTAAGTGAAACAGCCGTGTAGTAAAAATAAAATTTCAAAAAGTATTGGAATTATGTATAAAATTAGATACAGTATCAGACAAAACAAGTGCAACCAAATAATGCTAATTTAGTTTCTTTATATAAAAGTGCTGCATTTTTACAATTTAGAGAAATAACTATGTAGCTGTTTAGAGACAACGTTCTTCAAGTTTTATTGATCACAAAGTTCATTATTTGTACAAAAACAAGTACAACTCCACAAAATGTTGACCAAGCTGTATTTCGCTATCAATATTTCGTGGCGAATCCTTTGTTGTCGATCACAGCCTTGCATCTTCGAGGCATAGATTCGATCAGGTGATCAATGAAACTTTGTGGAATCGCTGTCCAGGCGATTCCACAAAGTCATCACCTATGTATGTATGTATGTATGTATGTATGTATGTATGTATGTATGTATGTATGTATGTATGTATGTATGTATGTATGTATGTATGTATGTATGTATGTATGTATGTATGTATGTATGTATGTATGTATGTATGTATGTATGTATGTATGTATGTATGTACGTATGTATGTATGTATGTATGTATGTATATATCTTGTCCAGACCTTCATGATTAATTCTGCGGTTGACGATCTCCCACAAGTTCTCGATAGGGTTGAGATCCGGAGATTGAGGCGGCCAATCCATGACCGATATGTGGTTGTCTTGAAACCACTGCTTGACTACTTTCGGATCGTTGTCTTGCTGAAAAACCCATTTTATTGGCATATTCCATCCAGCGTGAGGTAACATAACATCTTTCAGGATATTTTTGTACATGAAACAGCCCATTATTCCATCGATTCGATGTATTAGACCTAGACCGTTAGAAAAACACCCCCAGACCATTACATTGCCTCCAACATGCTTCACGGTCTTATGGCAGTAACGTAAATCGAGGCGTTTTACGGACGGTTGACGTACACGGCAAATGCCATCGTTCCCAATGATATTGAACTTCAATTCATCAATGAACAGGACAGTTCGCCATTTCTGCACATTCCAGTCAATAAGAGATATTGCAAACAGGAGTCCTTTCTTCTGGTTCTTTAGTGAAATCACCTTTGTTATCTGCTGCCAACTTCCACGTAGAACGATATTTGGAATATAGTCTTGATACGGTCCATTTTTTCACGCGCAAATACTTTTTTGTGACATTCCACTTACGTAATCGCCAATAATTTTTTTTCTAAGTTTTAATCCAAGACTGTCGGGAGCCATTTTTGCACTTTAAGTCATAAAAATAATACAAATAAATAATAACGTTTCTCAAGGCTTACCGTGTTACATTTACCTTGTGATGATACAATAATGCTATGTGGAACACAACGTCTTGGTTGGATTTGGACTGTATTGATGTGATGAAACACTTGTTGTATTTCACTTCTTCTATTAATGTTCTTCGATAAAACACTTTAATAAAACTCACTTCGATAAACTGCGTTGATAATACTGACTGATTGACTTCCATATACTGACTGAATTACATGTCGGTTTTACTGAATTACATCTCTTATATAGTAAAATGAACCTGTGTGAACCTGTTCTAGAAGATTCTAGATGCTTCTTTACGATGCCTCTGGAAGCTTTTGGATGTGTATGGATGCTTCTGAATGTTTCTGGATACTTCTGGATGCTTCTGGATGCTTCCAAATGCTTCTTCTGGAAACTTCTGGAAGCTTCTGCATGCTTCTGGAAACTTCTGGATACTTCTTTTAATTATTAAAAAACTTCCGTGACTGAAAAAGACCAGACTTAGGAAAATAACACAAACCAAAAAAGTTGCACTTGTTTTGTCCCCTGCAAAATGGCACTTGTCAACGGAATTCTGCGTGTGTGCTGTCACCTGTCAGCTGATTGCTCATGTAATGGCATGCTATGACTCCAGACTCCTGAACTGTTTGCTGTGGTACTATAGTTCGTTTCGTTTTTAAGACATGTAAAGTTAGGAACACTTTAGCATTGTTCGATTTTTGTTGCAAATGTTTTGTCCAATACTGTATATACATATATAAAGTTATATATGTATATATATATATATATATATATATATATATATATATATATATATATATATATATATATATATATATATATATATATATATATATATATATATATATATATATATATATATATATATATATATATATGTATCTATATAATATAAAAAACCCTTTTTTGTGTTTCTTGTTTTGTATTACATGGCTGATGGTTATGGTACAAATAATTATTTTACTTGAGGTATGAAACTATTAGCACCATAAAAAGTTGTATTTTCTTTGTTTAAAAATTTACATGTGTATGCGTGTGTGGGTGTACCAGCTGCTATGACCAGGTACCTTCTTTTGATTTGGCGCCCATCCCCCGGGACAAACTGTCCCTTTCGCCCTGCCCCCTTTCCCTCTCTTGGCGGCACTCCATTGTTAACACGTTATTAACAAGTATTTCTAAATTTTTATTCTACAATATACAGTGTTTTTGAATTTTTAAGTTTATAATTTTATTTTATATTTGTTTATGCAAAAAGTATTTTTCTTTTTACAACATAAACGCATAATGAACAGAGGGACAAGAACAATGATCATTTCAACAATCATATAATATTATCACATAAGAATTGTGTTATTCCTAAATTCCACCTAAATAATCCCATCGTCGAGCTATTTTAATTGATGAAGCTGTTGTTACTGACGTTAACTAACGTCATTAGCGCTAGTGAAGTAGGTATGACTTCTTAATTACGACACCTGTTTTTTTTTTTTTGAGGGGGGGAAAGGGGGGGAGAGTGTTTAACTTCCAGACATGGAAAAAACACCTTAACACTAATACGTTTATGTCATGAATTTTTTTTATTACTGTATAATCGGAATTTCCGAAATAGGTTTTTATAAGGCTAAAAAAATTTTTTCTAAAGTATAACTGTTTCGTAATATTTGTTTCTGTAATATTTATTTAAATACGAAGCAGGATATCTATTGTCATCATTTTTTTTTTTGAAAAATTTAATTTCTCATAATGTATAGTTAAAAAATAACAGTCATGAAAACTAGATGATACACAATTATAATAGATAATTCATAAGAAATAATAGTCATAAGTAAAAATCGTAAGAAACTTGAATATGGAAAGCAGAAGTTCTGACTTAAAACTATTCGTTTCGTTAATTAAGTTGTGAGCTATAATTAGATTAATTGATTATTATCAACACATTTTGTGAAATAAAATTCCTTAATTAAAAATTCTCTTTTCATTTACAATCGCTTTTTTGCGATGTTAAATATGTGTTATTATTGGTAAAGTTTTTATAAAATGTGCAGAATTTCGCGTTATTTTAGTGGAGTTGCAAGCATGAAGTATTACTTTTTGTAATTTACAAATTAATGGTGGTTTAAATATAAAAAGTTTAATATATTTATTCCATAACTTTTTAATTAAACAAAATGTTGTGTCGTAAAAATTTGTTGTTTTCAAAAGTGCTTTAAGCAACAATAATTTATAAGTTAAATTATTCATTACGAATAAAATTTTTTTTTAAGTACATGCATAATAAGTAAAATAAAGTTTCACTTTTTAATTAAAAGTTAAATTTAAATGAAACCATTTGTTTTTGTTTAAAAATCATTTAAAAATAATATTGTTGAAGAAATTACATTAAATTAATAAGTATATTAATATGTTTGTGTTATATATATATATATATATATATATATATATATATATATATATATATATATATATATATATATATATATATATATATATATATATATATATATATATATATATATATATATATATATATATATATATATAACACTAACATATTAATATACTTATAAACATTGATATTTTTTGGTTACTTTATTCTATACAAAAAAAAATAAAAAAAAAATGAATAAACAAAGCTGCCCCAACCAAAACCCTTAATTGACATAGCAATGTATATACTAGTGTATATTGTATATATAATGTATATACTATACATAGCAATGTATATACTAAAGCCTCTGGCAGCAGGTTATTTCAGTATGATATTAGAATGCTTATCTAAACACACAACATTTTATATATATGATAATATTATATATATAAAACTTATGTTGTGTGTTTAGATAAGCATTCTAATATCATACTGAAATAGCCTGCTGCCAGAGGCTTTAGTATATACATTGCTATGTATAGTATATACATTATATATACATTATACACTAGTATATACATTGCTATGTCAACTAAGGGTTTGGGTTGGGGCAGCTTTGTTTTTTCATTTTTTTTTTTTTTTTTTTGTATAGAATAAAGTAACCAAAAAATGTAAATGTTTACACACTGTAGTATATATATATATATATATATATATATATATATATATATATATATATATATATATATATATATATATATATATATATATATATATATATGTATATATATATATATATATATATATATATATATATATATATATATATATATATATGTATATATATATATATATATATATATATATATATATATATGTATATATATATATATATATATACATATATATATATATATATATATATATATATATATATATATATATATATATATATATATATATATATATATAAATATATATATGTATACGTATTAGTGCTTGGATATACCTTCGTGAGAGTGCTCGATGAATTAAAGTAAATTAAAATGATTTAAATTAAAACAGAGCTGTATTTACATATATTTTTTATAAATAAAACTACATATTTTTCACAACTATAATTTTCATGCTAAATGCAATCATCAGGTGTAAATATCTAAGCATGAAACTTATGAATCTAAACATAAAAAATAGTTAAAAAACATTGTATTTACACCTGATGATTGCATTTAGCATGAAACTGATAGTAGTGAAAAATATGTAGTGTTATTTATAAAAAATATATGTAAATGTATGTATATGTATATATATACAAACACACTTATAAGCACTCTTGTTTCTGTGGATAGATTTCAGTGCTAATATGTTCTGCTTCTTTTACCCTTTTTTTCCAATGTTGCTATTTGGCAACACAAACTTTAAATTCAAAAATTAAACTCTGTTTTATCATTTTTTAAATTTTAAGTAATGCTTAAATTTTGCTACTTCCTACTAGATGGCAACATGTGCAATTTAAAATTAAACGCATCAATTTGCAATTGTTTTTTTGAAAATATTGAATGTCATTGTAATATATATATTATATATTACATTGTAATATATATATATATATATATATATATATATATATATATATATATATATATATATATATATATATATATATATATATATATATTATATTTTTTTTTTTTCAATTTCATAAATCAAGAAAAAAAACTTTAAACTTTTGAATTACCATCTAATATTTTTATTTTTAATTTTCTTCATACAATCAGTATCAACATAGTGGCTTAACCCTCATTCAATTCATTTTCTAAAACTTCTACAGATTGTTATTTCTGTATGGCTTTATCAATGATGTTTTTCTTTGGCTTAACTGCATAACAATTCAATCAAAAATGCATTTTAAAATTATAAAGGAAAATTATTTAATAAAAGAAATATTACCATGTGTGTGGTAAATTTTTATATTAATAAGTCTTCTTACCCAACTCTTTCTTTTGTATCAGGTGTTGGTTATCTAAGCTCTTACTTGAAATATATAGTTGTTATGTCAACAGATGAACTAGATATTAAATAAATTTTAGTATCATACAATAAAATCATGTTTATGATTGATGTCTATAAGTTGATGTTTTTAATTAATTTTATACTTTTATTTTTAAAAAAAAACTTGTTTATTATTGTGGCAAATAAATAAATAAAAAAGAAAAATAATAAATTAAAATTAAATAAAAAATAAATTTTAACACAATTTATAATTTAGTTTGTGTTGGTTTTATGGATTCTAAAATAACAGTAAAAGAACTCAATCAAAATTTTATTTGTGCTATTTGCAATGGATATCTGATACGTCCTGTTGCCATAACTGAATGTTTGCATTACTTCTGTCGAAGTTGTATTGTGAAGTATCTTGAGACTGCAGCTGAATACAAGTGTCCTAACTGTTCTACTTTGATTCATGAAACAAATCCATGGGATATGCTGCGTGAAGACAAGAAATTAGAGTTTCTAGTTTACAAACTTGTACCAAACTTAGCACAAAATGAAAGGAATCGAAGAAAACTTTTTTATTCTCGACGAGGTATGCTTGATCCTGATGCATGTGATGCAGATTCAAACTTGAACTTATGCAATCAGGTTTCTAAAAAGGAAAAAGTAGAAGAGGAAAATAAAACATCGGAGAAACAAAATATTAAAATGCTAGATGACTCTCAAATTGGTTTGTTTCTTGACTTTGTTGAACCAGACTCGAATCTACGTGGTTTTGTGAATTTAAAGTTTTGTCAACTGGAAAAACCATATATTCGCACCTCTTCTCATATCACTATTGGACACTTAAAGAAATATTTGAAAAAAAAGTTATTGTCAGGAGATTTTGATTATGACATTCTTTGTAATGGGGAGTTAATGGGTCGACATCATACGCTTGAATTTATCTATTTAACTCGGTGGAGGTATAAAGAAGGCATACTTGAACTTGGATATCGACCAAAAATTGAAAAAGCTATTTCCTAACAAAAAAATTTCTTAATAAAATATATATAAGTATTTAAATATTTTTAATTTTAATTTTAAAACATTACTAAATATACTTTAATGAATTTATTTTGTATATTTTAATAATTTCTTAATCTTTTACAAGCATGAAGATAAATACAACTTCAAACAATCTCATTTTTATACAAAGGTAAAAAGGCCTGTGTACAAAGGTAAAAAGGCCTGTGTACAAAGGTAAAGTATGAGGCCTGTGGTTTTATAATATAAAAGTTTTATTGCAGTAAATTAATAGTACTTTTTTTTTTGGGAGGAGGAGGAGGGAGTGGAAGATTAAAAAACAAAACTATTGTAATTTTTGCAATTGATTTGTTCTTCAAACATTGTGACACTAAAATGTTAGGTTTAATTATGAAATTTTTATTTATTTATAAATTTGCAAAAACAACAAGACAAACTATTATTTAATATCTTTGCTGTAAAAGATTTATAAGGTTATAATATATTTATAATTTTATTTCTTGATAATTTTGTTAAAATATTAAACATTGTGATTGTTAATTTGTTTTACTATATTGAAATAAATTTTCTAAAAAAAAAAAAATTAAAGAAACCTGCCATAAATTGTCTATGATTACTGATTGGAACAACTTTTCTTGAATATTATAATTTTTTTCCTTTGATATTCTTGAAAGAGCTAGAGTGATTCTGATCATATAACTCTTTGAAGATCAAAAGATGAGGTAGAAATATGTTGGGTGAACAAAATTATGTGGCTAGATAGAGTAAATAGATAGAATAAGATATAAGAATGTGTTGTATTACTCTAATGTTCAGGAAATTTTAGACTGAGATTGCAAGCGTTTTATATTTTGATATAGCCTAAGGATTTTATTTTATTTTTATTTAATTTTATTTTTATGTGTAATTATTATATGTGTATTTTTGATATGGGTAATTTGTATTTTTAATTTGTATGTTATATGTGACATTTTTATTTTTTTTAATAAATTGTTTCTTTGTAGCATATATTCCAATAACTTTTTTTATTGTTTTTTAATATATTAATCAATTGTTATAAATATTCTATTTATACATTTATATTATATTAATAATTTTATAATTTTCTGTTATGAAACTTTTTTTTTTGGTATTGCTTGTAAAAGACTATGGAATTATTAAAATATTTTCCAACATTTTGTTATTACTTCATTTGTATATATATATATATATATATATATATATATATATATATATATATATATATATATATATATATATATATATATATATATATATATATATATATACACACACACACAAGTTTGCTAATATGTAATATTTATAATTGTAGGTTTATTTTTATATAATACATAAATAAGAATAAAATAACTTAAAATGAAATGAGTTGGATTCCGTTTCGTAAACAAGGCAAAAAGACTATTCTTGATAAAAAAACATGTTTTGAGTATGAAAGCAACATTGAACGATTAAATAAAGTTGAAGCTAGCACAAGAAAGGTTTACAAAGAGGGAAAAAAACACTTGGAGAGTAATGCAGCACTTAGCAAAATGCAACAGCGATTTGCGCAAGAATTAAATGTGGGTACATCCATTAAAGAGACAGACGAGCGATTATTTAACATAACACAAAGTTTACAACAAACTTTAGTTCATCAGTCTGAACTTCTTCGAGAATTAAACAACAATATTCAAAAATCATTTGTAGATCCAATGAAAAAATTTACATCGAATTTTGCATTAGTAAATAATGCCATTAAAAGAAGAGATCAAAGTTTAAGTGAGTACACCAAATACAATAATCGTAGGGAAAAGTTTTTGGAGAAAGAAAGTCAATCAGGTAAGTTTGATGCAAATGAAAGATATTTAGCATTAGCAAAGGCTGATTTTGAGCGTAGAAACATTAAGCTTATGGAGGAATTGCCGAAGTTTTTTGATTGCAGAAGTACATATTTTATGTTGTGTTTTAAAGGGCTGGTTAAAAGTGAGCATGACTATTTTAGTAAATCTCGTGAAATATTCGAACAATTAGCTGAAAAAGTTGATTGTCCGATAGAACAACTAACAGAAGAGGAATATAGAGAGGAAACTAGTAAACGTTTAGCTGACATTAGAACGTTGTCTATTGTTGGGTAAAGATTTTAATTTTATTAAAATTTCTTTATTTTTTTAAGCGTTTATATTGTTAGACTATTATTCGTCTATGTTACACTTGTGTATTTTTTAAAATTGTGTATATTATATTTTTTAACATGTCCTTTCTTAGGTATTTTGTATATTTGCCATGGTTTTAAATAGCATGTAAATAATCGATTTAAATATTTATGAATTTAAAAAAAAAAATTGTTTCTGGTTCCAACTTAAGTATTTTTTTTATTCATTTGTATTCTTACGCTCTCGTCTCAATATTTAACAGATGCTGAGAAAAATCGGAGTCATGAAAACGAAAGCAATATGAAAAGGCTTTTAAAAAGAGTTCATTAATTATTAAATTTATTATTTTAGTATTTTCAAAATATACTAAATCATACTTTTTATAATTATAACGAAGATGTGGTTTACTTAACAAATAGATTACTATTATATAACCCTTGTATCAGGTTTGCTCTAATTGCTATGTTTTAATTGTGCAAATCTTTGAGTTGTAACTGCATTTAAGTCTAACTGTATTTATTGCGTGTTAATTGTATTGTTACGTCTAACTGTGTTAAAAAATAAAATGACAGTATCAATCCAAAAACATCTATGTTATAATGTAACAGTGTCAATCCAAAAACATCTTTGTTATTAGAACTGATGTCAGTACATTTGTTAAAAAATCCACGTATTTTCTTATTGGAATTTTTGTTTTTTAAACAAAAAGCAATCAACTAAATGATTAATTTAAATTGTCACAATACAACAGATTTAATGATTAAAGATGTTGTATTCCTTATAATAACTATTCATTAAGACTCAATATTTTTAATCTTAAATCTCTTGAATGCAGTAGAATAAAACTTAATTTGTAATGACCTATAAAATTATACACAACCTTGTCGATCTACATTTTTCTGAGTTTTTTACATTTGCTCCTTCTTACAAGATGTTATGCCCAAAAACTTAATTCGCGTATTAAATTTAAAAATGATACACGAAGGTTTTACTATTGTAAAAAAATTATCAAGATATAGAATTTTCTACCTGATTATACAGTTTACTCGCCCACTTTTTCTTTGTTCAAATCAAATTTAAAAAAGTACAATGTTCATCACCATTCTTATTAAGTTCTGAGATTCAAAGAATTTCTCATGAGAGAAGTATTTAAGCCTATTAATGATCTAGACCCAACATTTCTGAAAAACCTGTTTACAATTTAAAAAACTTATCTTATGAACTTTTGATGTTGCAAAAAATTGTTTCTACATCCTAAAGACTGTAATTACAAAAGTGCTAACAGCATTTTTTTATAGAGCCACTTTGTTTTAGAACTCTCTACATAAAATATACATGAATTGTTAATGCAAATGTCGAATAACAAAGAAACGTTTACATGGATTGAATTTTACTGTCAATCGACAGTGGTGACCATCAAAACAAAGCTCTTAAGACAAATTAATACCAGCGTCAGCACAATGAAAATCGCCAACTGTTTCTCAAAACAGGTTATTTTTATTAAAAATAGTGTACAAGGAACCTACTACAATAAATAGTAATGAAAACAAACAAAAAAAGAGCTGAATATATTTACATCATCAACAAACATATCATCTGATAGTCTGGTTGGATGAAACAAATTTTAACATTTTTTGTAGAAAAATGCAGGGACGCAAGCAGATGTTTTCATCATTCTTTCTTTACAAGGAAGAAGAGCAATGTATATATGCAATGTATAAATATCTGCTTCAAAACGTTTAAAAAATTATTTGATTGCCGCTAGCGGCAATCAAATTATTGATATAGCATGCTATATCAACAACTAATTTCGTCATAATAGAAATTCACAAAAGGATCATTTAAAACAGATTCTTGACTGTTTTATCAGTGAATTACACCAGGGAGTTGTTTAGTGGATTAGGTAGTTCTAACCATGTTTTAAATAGATAGATGTTTTAATAGAGTTTCTTTAGACATTTAGGAGGTAGGTAGTTTCTTTAGGTTTTTTACTATTCAAGAATTGAATATAGTTACTATGGTGAATCAGATTTTTAAATCTAGTATCTAGTGCATCAAATGCTTGACCAAACTGTACAATTAAAAATATATATATTACAGTTTTATTTAGAATCTTTAATCAATTCATCTGGTGTTTTGAAGTTGTTATTTTTCCTACTAATTCGGTGTCGTGAGATTAGAGTTTAAAAGTAGAATCAACGTCAATTTGATCAGCAATGTCAATTTGCATCAATATGCTCCACTAAAAAACTTATCTTAAATCCCTAAATTATTTTTGCTGCTTTGTAAAATATTAAGTTTAAATTGCAATTGATTGTTGTAATATCTTGTCTATTGGATTAATAAAGATTAATATTTTACACTAAATAACTATTTAACACAAAAAACCAAACAATTTAGTAAATTGTAAGCTTTGTCTCATCAAATTATCGATTTCTGGATTTTCATAAAAGCCTAGGATTTGTAAATATCTCCTAAATAAAACCTTGATAGCTTTAAGATTTCCATCCTACTTTTCCATCTAGTGTCACTCAATGACTTTAAATTTAATCTTTGAACATGCTTAAAAAGTATTGCCCAAAGTAAATTTTTTTTTTGGATTGTATTTAAGAAACAGCGGTTTAAAAAGAAGGTTTTGCCAATTGGTTTGTTTCGGGATCAATTGTTTGGGGATTGAGATAGAGAGATTGGCTACAAAAAGGAAATTTTTTTTAACTTTAACAAAAAGTAAAATGCTTGCAAGTTTAACATATATAACATATATATATATTTCGTCAATAAACAATCATTTTACAATATTTTTTGTAAAAATTAAAAATTAAATCTTTATATTCTGACAGCAGCAAGTAGAAGACAATGCGTCTTATCACCCTGCTCCTAAGTTAATGAAAATATCAAATAAGATTTACGTATTCCTATATAAGTTCCTAAAATATAAATTATATAAGTTTTATACATATTACAAGTTTTGTACATACTATAACATATTACAGCTCATAAAATATATAAGTTGCATATATGCATATATACGTGTTACTAAATCGATATATAAATGTTTTTAAAAATACAAAAGAATGTTTTTATTATTTAAATCTAATAAGTATCGTTTAACTACTCTTTTAAATAGTTCAATTGAAGTCATGTTTTTCATGTCTCTATTAAGAAAATAGTTCCACAAATGTGGTCCTCGACATGTAATTGAGAAGTCTGTTTTTCTAAGGGATGTTGTAGGGATGAGAAAGTTGCCAATGGAATGTCTTGTAGAGTATTTATGATTAATTAAGGTAAAATGCGGTTGAAAATATGTTGGAAGCATGTTGTTATGAATTTTAAACATAAATAACAGATTTTAATAGATGTTTAGTTTATAAATATTTAAAATATTTATTTTTTTAAGTAAAGGCTCGGCGCATGCATATCTACCTGCATTCAAAATTAACCGGCTTGCTTGCTTTTGTTTGGTATTAATTTTTTTCAAAGAAGATGAATAATTACTTGCCCACATTATATTGCAATAACTAATGTGATTATGAATAAATGAAAAATACAAGCTTTTTAAGCACATTATATTCAAAAAGTGCTTCGTTTTGAAAAGGATCCCGAGAGCTTTTGAAATGCTGTTTTCCACTAATTGGATTTGATTTTCCCAGTTTAAATGATCGTCAAATATTATACCTAGGATTTTCATTGAATGAACTCGTTTTACTTTAATGTTGTTTATAAATAAACCAGGAAGTTTTAGGGGTATGTTATCAGTTTTCGAAGGTTTCGGGAACAAAATGTATTTAGTTTTATCAATGTTTACGAACAGTTTATTGGCTTTAAACCATTCATTGAGATTAATTAGCTCTGTGTTTACAGTAGAAAAAACAAATTTTAAATTAGACCCCGAAAAAAAAATTAGTATTATCAGCAAAAATAAAAAAATAAAAGGAATTTAGAAGATAAGTGGATGTCATTGATATATAAGAGAAACAACAGAGGACCAAGTATTGAGCCCTTAGGGACACCGCAACTAATAACTTCTAACTGCCTACAAGTTAAATCATACGTCACACATTATTTACGATTTTGTAGATAAGACTCGATCCTATTATACATAATACGTTCGAGAACCTTTGAAAAGCAGGATAGAATTGAGATGGGTCTGTAGTTTGATTCTAAAGAATCGTCGCCATTAAATCTGATTTTTTCAAAAAAGACTGAAATGTTTTGCTACTTGTAGAGATTTCTTTGGCTAAATTTTTCCCAATATTTATAAAAAAATTATTCAGTCTCTCAGCAATTGTTTTTTTATTAAAAATTTCACCTTTATCGGTTTTCAGTCGATGCTAGATGTAATTTTTGTTTTCCCGGTTATATCTTTTATTATAGCCCAAGTTTTTTTTAGCATTTCCAAATAATTTCTAGAATAGAAGTTTTTTTTAGATTGCTTTTTTATTTTTTCGAAGTTTTTGTATTTTTTATAATTAGTTTCGTTTTCAAAATTTTTGTTTTTTAAAAAATTTTCGTAAAGCTTTTTTTTTTTTTTAATGATTTTAAAAGACCTTTAGTCATCCACGGGGTATGCAAACTTTTGGATTTTATATTTTTTCAAACTTTAGGAAAAGCTTTATCATATTGCCTTGTAAAGACGCGGATAAAGAAATCGTATGCGCTACATGTGTCATTGCAATCATTCAAAAGCTCCTAATTGATTTCACAAAAAAGCTGTCTGAAAATTGTAATCGAGTCTTTGTTTACATGCCTTATGTATACTGATATGGGTTTTTTATTTATACAGCATTTAGTATTTGTTGTTAAAAAAAAACAGGAAAATGGTCACTAATATCCGTTTTTATTATACCACTGTTGATTGTCGAGTTACTATAATTATTAGTGATAATATTGTCAATAATAGATGATGTTTTTCGAGTTACACGCGTCAGCTTGTTAATCATGGGTTAAGCACTAAACTGAAAAAGAGTATTTATAAAACTTTTTACAGTGTTTAATTTTATCAAGTTTAAATTAAAGTCTCCGAATAAATATATATGTTTTTTAGAAGTTTGAATTAATATTCGCCTCAAGTCATTTTCAAATTGATTGTAACTGCCATTGTGTGGTCGATATAAAACTGTTATAAACGAATTTTTTTCTTTTTGGTTTATTATCTCTATAGTTAATGATTCGTAATTCGAGTTATTCACATTAGACTATCTACTTTTTTATACGTCAACGAGTTGTGAATAAGTATGAATACGCCTCCGCCAATACCGTTTTTTCTCGGTTGGTGAACAGAATTGCAATCTGTTAAATGCAAATTAGAGTTACTCATATCTTCAGGTTTCTGTAAGACAGATTATACTGAATTTAAAACTTATATTATTTAGCATTAATTTTAGATTTTCAAAGTTTTTGCTCATGCTTCTAATATTTATATTTAGTAATGACATGTAATGTAGTGATTTATTTAAAATACTTAAAGTTTAAGTTTAAGTTTGTAGTTCTAGATTGCACTCCTGCTTTATGGTCTATTGGACCCAGTTTTATATCTCTGCTCTCTAACATCCTATAAATTTAAAAGTGAGTTTCATTTCAGCTGAAAGGAAACTCAAAAAATTTTCATTAATTTTATTTCATTCTCACTAAAATTAAGTTTGTTGATTGAAACATATAGTTACAAGAACCATTTACTCCGCCTATAAACTTCAGAATGCAATTTAAAATTATTGAACATTATTTGGTTTTTTTTATATCAAATAATTCATGGGATTTTACATTTTAACGCACCAAGTTTTCTATTACATTTTGAATATTTTTCCCGAGATAGTGAGCCTTTTTGAGCACTCTACGCATTTGTTCTATCATAATTGGATTAAATTCAGTTAGCAGCTTTACTATTTTTAAAAAGTAACCGTTATTATGTTCAAACGTGTCGCTTCTACTTTGAAAAGCTATATAAGTTTAACAAGCGTTTCAATGATAAATATAATAATAAATACAAAATTTAAATTACATGTTAGTTACAGCTAAAAAAAAAAAAATCAATAGAAATACGTTTCAATTATTTGAGTATAAATATTTTATCACAGTAACGATCAAAATGTTGCTCTTTAGATTCGCCGCACCGGACAAATGTCCTGATTGTCTTTTTCATTACTTTTTTTTATTTATAAAGTGCTATTATTTATTGAAAACCAACCCGTTTGACCAGCTTGGCCAGAAGGGGATATATCCTTAAATTACAGAGTAAATTAAAGCTACAAAATTAAAAATACAAAGAATTTTGTTCTAGGTATCTAAAGCTTTCTTAATTACAACTATCGTGTTTTCAATTACTTGTGTTTTTCTCAATTGAGTCTTGAAAAGGTTTGGGTAGCGTGTTTCAAAAATCTTATTAAAAATTGAAAAGGTTTGGGTAGCGTGCTTCAAAAATCTTATTAAAAATTGGCAATATATCGTTTTAAATGTTAATAAATATTGGCTTTGTATTGAAATTGAATCTCTTTGTATTACATTTGTATATATAATGTAAACATTGTCGGTAAATATTAAAAGGTACGATTTTCAAGATTTTTTATGACACTATTCTACAGTTTTAGAGCCCCCCACAAATGATTTGTTATAGTATCAAATTTTTTTAAATAGTTTTTTTTAATGGAGTATAGAAATTATGATTTGTAGTTTACAAAACAATGGTACTTACCGTTAGACACATCTGTCGATGATCTGTACCAGCCTGTAGATGTTTATCATTACCTTTAGACAATAACATACCTTAAAACTTAGCAACTTTAAACAAATAACGACCCCTCCCAGGTTTAATGATATCTAATAATATAATTTTTTCTAATAATTTTTTTGGTCAGAACATAGGTTTAGTAGTAACTGTTTTACCATATAAAAGTGTTTGTTGCAAGGTGACTTTGCAATTTCAATGTTTCATGGTATTCCCTGTATCATGGTGCACCATTCTCCCTTAAACAAGCTGTTTCATGATTTTTGTAGATCTTAATAAGTTCGCAATAACATATTTTCGAAAAGTTTTCATTTTAATAATATTTTAAATATATGTATATTAGATAAAATGTTATTTTCTTTTTCTAAAGAGTGCACAAAAAGTTGTCTTTTTAAAGTATTTCTTACGCAATACTCTAAAATTTTAATCTTTTTGGTATTCCGCAGTATCTGCAGCTGTTACTGCGGGATTTTCATAAAATTATCTATAAATAAAATTAATTTATTAAAATATCAAGTGAACTTGTCAGCGACATATTAATTGTTGAGTCTTTACCAGATTGCGTTTATGTTTAAAAAAAACAACAAATAAAACTTTTATTGAGCCTTATATACTGAAATCATATATGTAGCGTATATAGTCACATGGTACAGTGATCAGTATGCAGCTAATTTGTGCTTAAGCAAATTTCTGTAGCTAGTTCAAATTTAAGACTCTAGTTTCTAATTAAAAACTCAGCGTTTAAGTAATTACTTTATTATTTAAATCATTTAAACAATTGTTTGCCTTGCAATTTGGTAAAAGTTTATTAATTTTTTTTTAATCTTATCTTTGTTAAATGCTTTTTTAAGGTTCTGACCACAAGATCTTTGCAATCTTCTTTCAGATACCTTGTTTATGTTTGTTATGTTTTATGTCTTTGTAAGTTCATAATAATATTTTTATTATGGGTTATTTAATGCAGTACAACGATTAACAAATGAAAACCAAAAATAAAACAAAAAACAAAAAAAAAAAATTTCATAGGTTTACTAATTGCTGTTAGTGTGCTAAGTTATGTAAACCCAGGATTTGATGCTAAATTATGTAAATAATTATGTAAATTATGTAAATAATTATGTAAATTATGTAAATAATATTCTATTAAGCAATATTATATTTTTTTACTAAATGTTTCAAAACCTGAATTTTCCGTATAAAATATCTTAAATGTAGCATATTCAAAGAAAGTATGAGGAGACCCTCTCACAATATCTCCATAACATTCTCGACTACCCAACGATGCATTTTTATTGATTTCTTTTTCAACTTTATTAATGTTGTTTATTTTTTTTTTAGTTTTGCAATGTTTCATGTTAAACAATTTTCTATTTAATTTTGTAAAGATTGGAGTTCTGATAAGTTTAGAGTTTGTCTTTACTTTTATACAACAACAGCAAGCTACAATTATAACTCCAGTTATTAAAATTGTCCCCACAATAGCCCAAAGAATATAGGTTACGACCTCTGATTTAACATCTATTTTTAAAACTTCTGCAAGATTTTCAAACGGTGACTGAAGCGACTGTGGAAAGATCTTCGAAGTAATAGTGCTTGAATTCGATTCGATGCTTGATAGAAGTTCGCTTTTATCTAAAAATGGTTAAAGAAGCTATAAAATGAAAATTTATACCATCATGTAACATGTACATGATATATATATATATATATATATATATATATATATATATATATATATATATATATATATATATATATATATATATATATATATCAACATGTAATTATGTTACAAGGTTCGGCCCCAGTAAAAGCAAAAGGGAAGTGAAGCAATTGAAAAAACTCAAACTCATCAAAATTATCAAAAACTGCAATAGTTTTTCAAAAATTATACTATTAAATAAAAAAATAGTATGAGTTTTCTTTTTTAAAACATCAGCTTACTGTAACGAAACTAAATAGTAAAGTCATTCGAAATCTTATTAAGTAGAATCTATGTGATTTGCGTGATACATTACCGATATAAACAGCCGTTTTAACAAAAAACTTTTTCTTTAAAAATTTGCATTAAATGCAAATTAAAAAAAAGGTTTTCAGCAGTAATGGTAATAATAAAAGTTTAATTAAACAGTATTAAATTAAAAAAAACTAATTTTGAACGATTGTTGAATTTATTAGTTTATTTTCCTTTTTTAAAAAAATTTAACTTATTTTGTCAACTTATTGAATGTTATATTTAACAGAACTTCAGTTGAAATGTATTAAGTAATTCACGATAACTTTAGTAAATAAGTATTCACGGCTGCATCAGCTGGCAACCGTATGCTCGACATGCTTAAGAGTGTTTTTGAGGCCGTTTTCTATGGCACACATTACATATTTCATACGTTCGCCCATATTTGGAATTTGCACTGGTCACCATATCTCGCTCATGATATAGCCATGCTCGAGCAAGTTCAACACCAAACCACGAAAGACATCTTTACCATAAAGCAGTTACCCTACACTCAGTAACTAATTAGATTAAACCTAACAACGCTAACCAAATGACCAGCAAGAACAGATCTAATTAAACAATACAAAATCAACAGCAAACTCAATGTCATCAAAGTATAGTTTCCGAGCTCGCAGACACACCAAACAACTCAAAGCACAACTTGTTTGAAACTGCACGGAAAGGTACAAATTCTTTACAACACGCGTGGTCAAACCATGGAGCAATTTGACCTAAAACGCGGTCATGTTTAAAGTTGTTTATATTTAACAAATATAAATAACTTTAAATATGAACTATCATTATTAACACTTAATTGTAATTTGAAAGCTAAATACTTTTTTCATTCGAAAGCTAGACAGGGCTGATTGGTGTTTGTGAACTATTGTGACGTGAATTATTGATGAAGAGGCCTGGCATGCCGCTCTTCATCAATAACTTATAAATTGTATTGGTTGTGAATAAATAAAATTGAAAAAATTAACTTTAACAAACTATTTTTTTAAATGGTTTTTTTAGATATGACAATAATAAACTTTAGTGTTTGCTACTTAACTCGTCAATTTATCGCTTTATTTATTTTTTTATCATTTCATTCAATACTTTATTGTTTAAAAAAAAAACAATAACTGATTCTCAGTGTAGTCAGGGCCACCAAGAAGCGAGGGGGGGGGGGCAAACAGGACAGTTTTTTTTTTTTTAAATTTATTCACCTACCCAAGGCCCGAGGGGGCCACTACAGTCGAGGAGGCTACTCATTTTTTTTTTTTTTTTTTTTTTTTTTTTGTAAATTGTGGTACAACCCTCTCTCAACTCTTTAACTCCGAAACACGAACCGTGACAAGCCAGACCGCTGCGCGGAGAAATTAAGTTGAGCGCGGTACTTCCAGGGACGTGGTGGGAGTCGAACTCAGAACCGCTCGCTTACAAAGCGAGCGCTCTTACCACTACACCACTACCGCATTTTTTTCACGGACGACAAATATCCAAGTGGCACCAAATGAAAAGAAGGTACCTAAATAAGGGCGCCAATCAGGGTTGTTGTCCCAGGCGGCGTGACGACTCTCGGCGGCCCTGGGTGTAGTTAAGGAAATTTTATAATAATTATAGCGTCTGTATAATATTTTGCTTACTAAAACATGTTTCCGTTAAATGATCATGGCTTTGAATCATGAAAACACAAAAAAAATTAAAATGATAAATTTTGCTGTAACATATTTTATTATATGTTACGGCAAAATTTATCATTTTAATTTTTTTCGTGTTTTCCCAGGGCCGCCGAGAGTCGTCACGTCGCCTGGGACAACAACCCTGATTGGTGCTCTTATTTAGTTACCTTCTTTTCATTTGGTACCCCTTAGATATTTGTCGCCCATAAAAAACTATCCTGCTTTCCCCCCCCCCCCTCCCTCCCTCCCTTCCTTAATATTTATAGAGACCGCAGATTCCTTTTTTTTTTTTTTTTTTTTTTTTTTAATCACATTAAAGTACGATTGCTTGTTAATTTGAATAAGATTTTTAAAAAATACGCTTTTTAGGTGAAATGAATATCATAGTTTAATAATATGATCTGTTCTGATTGTTTATTGGGAATTTTTCTTAATTATAATCGCTTTCTTGGTCGGAATTCTAATATTTTTAATGAAAATTGATAGAAATGTTGTGTTTTGACAATTATATTAAATTAATATGTGGTAAAACCGATTTGAGCTAGGATCTATAGCAGATCAACACTTTTTCAAAAAGTTTCAACTAAAATTAAGTTAACGCTGCACAGTGGGCCAAAATCATTATTAGCTGGACAAAATTAATAACTTTTAAAATATTTATCAGGTTTTTCCCATAATTAGCAGCTTGAGTATATTTCATATAACAAATCTAATGGCACCATTAGATTGTTTATTTGGTTGCCATGGATACCTATATTTAATGTCAACAGGCATTTTGCATAGCTACCTAAATAAAAAGACTTTCTCAAAATATCAAAGTTATAAACTAAACTGATATTAATGCTACATTGCTATTTTATGTATTTGAATGATAACACAAACAAAAAATTATCAATTTTTGGTGTTACTATGCTGTTATGTGCTCTTAGAAACCAGTTGGTAATTTTTTTTGAAACTTTTTCTTAATTCAAAATTTCTTTAAAAAATGAAATAAAAACTTTTAAAACACTCTTAACTATAAAGGTTTACAGGAACAGTTAATTAAATTTTAACTGTGTAGTTTAGATACCCTTAGCAACCATATAAAAATAAGCAAGTTTTTATGCAATTAGAGATACAAAAAATTTTATAACGAATATATAAGAAAACAAACTTTTATATTCATTATTTTATTATGTAAATATTAAATACTTATAAAGTAAACACCATCTTAAACACCAACGAAAATCAAAACTATGTCATTGACACTTAGTCAAAAATTGGAACCTCTTTAAGAAGATCAAAAACTCCATTTGGAAGAGCGTTTTTCTTAGGATGATGGGGTTTTCTCAAACTACTTATCAAAGGGTCAGAAGAACACATTAGTCGCCTTAATAAATCTTCGTTTGTTTTGGAACGCGAACACTTTCTAGAAAATGATTCTCGAAATTTCTTAAAATTTTTATTTTGAGCTTCTTGTGCCTCTTCGCTGAGCATGCCAATCGGCAAAGCCATTCTCTCTACAACTTGCCAACCATGAATAAGAATGTGATGCAGACTCTGTGGCATATGATACCATGGATAAAGGATTACATACTTCTCAGCTGTTTTGTAGCAGTATTCTCTAAATAGTGAAGAATCAATTAGAAAGTTAGATGACAATGTACACAAAATCACATGCAACATCTTTATCATACTGACATCAAGTTCAAGAATTTGAGCAGACTTCTCTGCATTCTGAAAAAATTTTCTAGCAGTGTTTCCATTATTTGAAGACCCAGAGCCACCAGATGTTGGCATATCAATTATCAGTCCAACTTCATCACGAAACCTTATCTGGATTTTCTGTTTTCGTTCTTGAATAATTTTCTTTTCAGATATAGTTCTTGTAGCCCACTTTTTCACTGTCAATTTATAACTAATTTTAAGAAGACATTCCATGCTTTTAATCCAAGCATGGAGAGTTGAAAGACCAAAGCAGAGACCTATCTCTGTCAATGGCATATTTTTAGCTGCATTAAGATCATTCATTTTTTTTGGGCTGCATCCACAAACAGAACAACACTGAGAAGATGTAGTTGCTGTAGATAATGCTGTAGCAACTTTGCCGTCCACCATCGTTATTTCAATTTTATGAAGTATTGTTAAGTTTTCACAAAATGTTAAAGACAAATTTGCAATTGAATTGTTAATAAACTGATTCTCTTGTTTCAAAACTTCAATGGTTTCTTTTTTAAATGAAAATCTTATTGGTCTGCAATATAAAGTTGAAGATGGATGTGGATTAGACCAAATTATTATTTTTTTATCATTAATGAATCCAAACAACTGAAGTGGAACAAAACAAGAAATAAACAAACTAGCTTCTTCTCTGTTTTCTTTCTCAACTGTTACTTGATTATAAATCCTTTGGCTAGTTGATCCATCAAACCCAACTTTAGAATATAAAGTCAACCTTTCAAGATCATTCATTGAATCAATAACTTGTTTCTGCAACTGTATTAGGCGTATTGCTGTATGATCGACTAATGCTTGAAAGTTTATTTCTGCTGAAAAATCATTTACAGTCCATAACGTTTTTTCAGGAAGACACTGTTCTTTAGCAGCACGAACATCATTGTAAGCAGGATAGAGATTACAACCTTTGCTCAAAGCATTATTTCTCAAGCATTGGTAATCAGATTTGCTCATATCAATATCTAATATGAGTGCTAGAGCTTCATTTAGAGTGTTTTGAGTATGTTCTGTATCAAAAGGTTGCTTAATAGATAAACTTCGAACTACTTTTGCATCCTTTCTTCTGCTATCTTTAAAAAGATTACAACTACTAGCATACAACAGTTCATTTGATGAACAAGTTAATAAGTCCATAGCTGCTACTTTACGACTCTTTGTCTTATTTGATGAATCATCAAATAATTTTACAGGTCGACCACTAACTATAGATTCAGTTTTATTATCCTGATTTTTAAATGACTTAATAAAGTCTTTTTGAAGCCATACTGAATTATGTTTCATAAAGTTTTCATCAATTCTTTTACTTAAAGACCAACGTTTACGATATTTGGACAAAAAGGTTACAAACTGAGCATCAAATTCAGAACAGTATTCACGAATAAAATTGTAAACATAAAGTTTGTCTTTTTCATTAGACATAGATAAACCATGCTGTCTTATGAATTGATGAATTTGATATCTTGTGATGGTTGACATATTACTAATAATAATATTATTAGACTAAAATAATATAAACATTAAAAAGTTGTATTAACATATATATATATATATATATATATATATATATATATATATATATATATATATATATATATATATATATATATATATATATATATATATATATATATATATATATATACATATATATATATATAAATACTTGTTATTTTGCGACAAAAGAAACTTGAAAAAGAAACATCTTTGATTTTATAAAGTATAAGTATTAAAAAGTATTATAAGTATTAAAAAAAGTAGCAGATACTAGCAGCTAAATTAATAATTTTATAAAAACATATACATATAGCCTTCAAAATATGTATAAGAGATAAAGGCAAAATAGAGCACAAATTTTTCCTTGTTGTCTTTTCAAAAAAAATTTAAAAAAAAGTCCAATTTTTACCAAAAAATATATCTAAAACTGGTTTAAAATTTTTTTTTAACTTTTTTTTTTTTTTATAAATTTTATATATTAACAATTATTTGATGTTAATAAAAACAGTTAACCAATATACTAAAAATTTATTACACACTTTTGCTTTTTTAAAAACTACATTTTCTCACTTTATCGCCATTTTTTTTTTGCAAAAATTTTACTTGAAATGAGTTTTTGTTGAGAATATATATTTTTTTAATTTATTGTAATTATTTTTAAGGTCCTCAATGTATCTAAGTAAAAACTTTTAAAAAAAAATTTCAGTTTTCAGACATAAATTTTTTTAGTTTTGTCTACCTACTGGCCCACTGTGCGCTGTTGAGCGGAATTGATTTAAAGACTCAAAAATGGTGTTCTTTAGATTCACAATTACGGGTAATAAAAAAGTTTTGAAAATTATTTAAAAAAGAGAAAAGTTTCTTTAAACTTTATAAAAACTTGATGCAATAAAAATTATATAATCTAAAGCTCTTGTATGGACATAATACGCTGACAAAATCATGCTAATTCCAAATAAAATAATTCAAATAAATTATAAATCGCTTTAACTACACCGAGTTGTGAGATTTTAGTTTTTTCCTATAGAAGTTTTTGATAATTAAAGATCAGTATAAAAGTGAATAATTCGTTGGAAAATAATTAACTATTAGAATTAAAATTTAAAAGATAGAAAAAGACATAAATAATTGATCAAAAAATACTTGATCGAAAAATAATAGAATAATTAAAACTCAATCTGAATGTAAGATACTGACATTAAAATAATTAAAAAACATTATAAGTTAGCTATTATAAGTTAATTACACAAGTTAATTAGCAATATAAAGGCTAACTGCATTTATTCTATCTAAATTTTATTCAATTATTTTGTTTTATTATCCTATAAAAAAAACAATAGAACTTGCAGTTTTCAAGGAATACACTTTTAGTTGCTAAGGTATTGCCTAATTTTGTAGGTCGCCTGTTATACAAATCAAAAATCTTCAAAACATGTTGATGTATTTCAACAAGTTTCGATGCGCGTATTCAGCGCGCTAAAAACTTGTATTTGTTTTAAAAATTATTTGAGTAAAATAATTTAAAATTCCTCTCTGGTTTTTTGCTTTGTATACAGTCTACATGCTTATACTATCCTTCAATATATAACTCTGCTCACACTTTCGTTTTTGTTTTTATAATTTTATTTTGTAAAGTTTGCCCTCCTCGTACGTTCGTTTTTCTTCAATTTCGCCTATCTTTCATACGATGGACGTATAAGAGATGGACGTGCAACCTTTTGTTTTACATCAAAAAAATTCGCCAAAATCATCGAGCCACGCGTTTACACGATCTTATCAAAATATTCCGTCATTGGCAAAAAAGTATTAAAAATGGCTGCCAATCAAAGATTTTTAGTAGACGATTCTGTAAAGTGATTTTTGTAAAAATTGAATCATTTATGTACTTGCAAATTATTGTTCAAATCAAACATAAATGATGTTTATTAGAAATACAAAGATATAATAACAGATTTTTTATAAATACTTCCTGTTTTTAAGTAAACGTCAACAATAAAATTAACACATAGAGAGAGCTTTTTAAAGAAGATTTATGGATTGGATATTTTAGTCAAGTTTTATATTTTATATTTTAGTTAGTATTCTTACCATTCAGAGTCTAAATTCTTTGCTCATTTTGTTTCAACTTTAATATATTTTTTTGTTTTCTCCGACATGCCGCTTTTTTTTGCCTTCTTTTATTATACGTTATGTTAATAAATTAAAAAAAACTCCGGTTCGCAAAAACAACAATAAGTTGTACGTCCATCTCTTATACGTTCATATTCATACTAAAATGTTTTGGAGTATGTGTTTACTAGTTCAAGCAACTGTATCAAATACAGTTGCCTTTTGGCAACTGGATCCAAATACGGTTGAATGGGGCATGTCACGAATACCAACACAGTTGGTATTCGTGACATGTCCCATCCATTTATCTGCTGCAACCGTTGAATCAAGAATATATAACTGTGCATATTGACGCGTGTCGGTACAACTGTAAAGAACCAATTTGATAATAAATCTGTCCGTGGATTTGAAAGCAATATAGCCCACCTCCTCGCCGTGTGTCGATTTTTGCTCCCATCGAAGCCATATATGGCTATAGCTAGTGCACTGTTATAATGTCAAATATTTGATCTGAAGTTTTGCGTCATTTCTGTATTTCCATTCAGCAGCTGTTGTAATTCTAGTGGATAATTTTGAATTGATAAAGCAGTGGTACCGAAATTGCAGCAGTCATTATATTCGTTCTTTCTTATTCAGCTTTAAAATGAAGAGCGCCGTAATGGATGCACTGACGGTTCATACTTCAAATATATTGTTTTTCTGGTAGTATTAATTTGAACATACCATCAAGCCCTGTTAGGGCAAGTTGGTGTAAAATTTCTATTCTGACGTTGCCGATAATGTTTGTGTTGTTCTCGACCATTTTGCAATTGCTTCTACCGCTGTTCAGCTGATTCTGTTAGGCGCTGTTTTAAATGCCGTTTTCCATCATACTCGTGTGTTCGTTCACCTTGTTCTGGCGTTACTGATTGTCGCCCTTGTATTGTATTACTGATTTACCCCGTCGATAATGTTCACGGTCTAGTGCGAGTCATTATCCACGCTGTTCGAGCATTTTTTTCTCGTTCAATCCTTTTTTAATCGCGTTCAATGACCATTCGTCTTCGCTTTCCGTTGACAAATAAATATAATTCATAGCCAATATGTATAAGCTTAGCAAAAATAAAGAAATCTCTGCAGAGAATACTAAATCGATTAACATCTGATGGCATTTATATATATCTTTTAGTTTTTCTTGAAAATTCTTAGGGTCGAAAGTTTGAAAGTTCGGATTACAATTATAAAATAATAACAACTTAGAATAATTAAAAAATGCTAGAAACTTCGAAGAGATTCTAGAAAGTTCGAAAAATTCTAGGAGCTTTGGAAACTTCGAGAAATTCTAGAAACTTCGGAAAGGGTTCTAAAAAGTTTGAAAAGTTTAAAAAAATTTTGGAAAAGTTCTTCGAAAAGTTCTAGAAACTTCAAGAAGTTCTAGAAACTTTGGAAAGGTTCTAGAAACTTCGGAAAGGTTCTAGATTTAAATTTGCCACCTTTTGTAATGGTAGGACAGACGGACAGACGGACAGACGGCTCTGCTTAATTATATAGATTGAAGATTTTAGAGTAATAGGGTTTAGCATAATTAACTTATCTTTAAAATGTTAAATAATTCATATCATTAAATAATTGACTATTTATTTTCATGTTATTTTTTTCTTATGATATTAAATTTAATGAAATCTTTAGTACTATCCATAGCACGAGATTTCATTGGTTCTATTATTTTTTTTTTTTCTTACGTCGACAGGTCAGCTTATTACAATTTTAGTGTTTCAGCACTGTTTAGTCTTCATTAAACGAATAATCTTATAGACAATAAACTTAATCGACAAAAAAAAATTTTAAGTTTTTTTTTTTTCAATTGCCACTACTAATTGTGTTATTATATCTGTCTAATTTATTTTTAATGAATTTATTAAAACAAAAATAAAAAAATAGCCCAGGACGCAACGATTAAAAAAGTACCAAAAAATTAAGAGTAAAAAAAAGCTTTTTTTTATATAAAAAAAATTGATTTTTATACTATAAAAAGATGCCTATATGCTATTTTGTCTGTTTATTTACATGTTTAGAACATGTACATGTTCAGTCATGTACGTACATGTTCTAAACATGTACATGTTCATGTACATGTTTAGAACATGTACATGTTCAAAATGTACATGTTCTAAAGATGTACATGTTCATGTACATGTTCAATCCAACAGCCTCACATACATATTTTCAAAGATGAAATAATGATATAATAATTTTAATAAATAAATTCTAACCTGTTTTTACATCACAAATAACTAAAATAGTGGTCAGAAGTCCGATAAGCATTTTTAGTTAAACATTTTCTTGTTTAATAAAACTTAAAAAAATTAAAATAGTATCTCAATAAACAATTTTAGCTCTCCAAATTTTGTTCAAATTTGTGACAGCTTTTTATCGTTAAAAAAAAAGCAAACTAAAAGCTCAGTATTTTGAAAGCCACAATATCTTTGCGTCAATATCATGCCGCAATATTTTTGTGGTAAACCATCAAAGAGTTTTTTTATAGAAATAATTAAACGTCTTAAAAATTATTTTCATACCACTTGTTGAAAGTTGTTTCTTCCTCTTTTTTGAGATTTTATACTAAAAAAAACAACTAGTTAAATGAACTTTTATCAAAGAAATTTATTTCTTTTAATTATCTAATCAAATATCAATAAAAAATTTATTTGTAAAACGATTCTCAAGCGACCACGTTGTGCAAGGACCGGCGAATATTCGTTGAAATTTGGATTACGAAGTTTACTGAAAAGAGAAGTTAACTTCGGCTTTACTCAAGTATGACTTCGTATGACTTCAAGTATGACTTCGTATGACAGTATGACTTCGGCTTTGACTTCGGTGCCGAACTTGAAATAGAACTTCTGCTTTCAACTGAAAGTTAAATGAAAATTAAATTGTTACCGAATTTAACTTAATTCGGTAACAACTTAATTTTCATTTAACTTTCAGTTAAGTTCGAAAGACATTTTTTTTTTCAATTAAAAAAGTGTAATAATTATAAAATATACCACATGTTTTATGTATATCAACCTGATTTGGAAACATGAATTCTGTAAAAGAAAAAAAGAAAACATATTAGAAATATGTTTATATGTACTACCAGAGGCGATTATACAAAAAAAACGAGGAGGGGGGGGGGGGGGGATAAATCCTTAAAAAGTACCGACTGGCTTCGTAATAAAAAGTAAAAAAAAGGGCCTAAAAATTAAATTTTAGCCGACTGAAGCGTGTCAAGTACCCGACTAGAAGACTAAATTAGTAAAAAAAAACCGACTATACCTTGAAAATTACCTTCTTTGGGAGGGAGGGGGTGTAACACACACCGTAAAATCGCCTCTGTGTACTACTAATAGTAACATTTTGAAATTCTTAACTTTCTATTATTACGAAGCAATTTATTTTACTGTTTATATTAAGTCATTTTACATTGTTAATCTTTTTTTTTTTGTATTAGTCTTTAATTTACTTTATAAAGTTTATTTTCTTTCATTATTGTAAGAAGATTATCACTTTATTTTATCTCGTTATTGTAAGAAGTTCATTGATGAGTTTAAAAAGAGCGACTTATTTAAGGTTCTGATGACAAGATATTCCAGATTTTCATTTAGCTACCTTGTTTATCATTGTAAACTTGTGAAAGGTAATTGTTATTATTTTATAATTGTAAATTTGTGAAAGATAATTGTTATTATTTTTATTATTATCACTATAATATAGTGACTATATAATTGCACAACGACTAACTAATGTAAACAAAAAGAAAGAAAAAAAAAGATTTGTCTTACAGAATCAATATTCGATCCCTTAAAAGTCTTCTTTAAGGGGTCGTCCATAAATTACGTCACGCTTGGGGGAGGGGGAGGCGATTTTGTGACGATTTGTAACGAGGGGAAGGGGGTCTCGATTTTGTAACGCAACATTTTTTTTTCGGCCACCCTAATGTTGCAAATTAAATAAAAATTAAATTTATAAAATAATATTTCAGCATGTATAATATTGTTATGTATTATATATTATATGAAAATATTTTACATGTATTATATATCGGAAGAATAGATTTTTAAAATTGATATCATGTTTAGGAGAGCGATGTTAATTTATACATTTTTACACGGAACTATTGGGGTGAAAAAAAAAATTTAACAGATTGAAAAGTACTAATTAATTAACTCAAAGAAGCTCAGAGAAGTAAAGACATTCTTATATTTAAATCGTTTTGTATTTTTTAAAATTCTGCCCCCCCCCCCCTCCTTCTCCTTAAAAAATAAAAATAAAAATTTTAAGGGAAGGGGGGTACATATATATATATATATATATATAAACGCTTAACTGTCAAAAAATACTTTCAAGACATTTTTGTAAATGCCATTAGACATTTTCACAACACCAGAACATTTGTATAAGATATTGCAATTACAAAAGAATATTTTAAAGTAAAAAAATATAAATAAAATAATAGTTAGCTCTATCATCTTGAACAAAATAATCATTGAATAACTTGTATTAGCATTGAATAACAAAATAAACATTGAATAAAAAGGCATTATGTGGTCGGGAACAGTAAAAAAGTATGTACACTTATAAAAAAAATTGTTCACCTTTCATTTTGGTCTTTTGTGTTGCTTATTTGTTTTCACAAGAAATGTTTTTAATATTTATTAATTATACAACTAATATTTATCAGTAAAAAACTGATAGATGTTAGCTGAATCATTATTATTTTACTTTAGAATCAATAGTTTTAAAAAAACTTGAAAGAAACCATGTCTGTTTCATTTATACCATATTTACATATAAACAATCAACATGTATGTAATGCTGTTATTTAGTCTAAAACACTAAATACTTTAATGTAAAACTGCAAATAACTAGTTATCACCAAATATCTAGTGTTTTTTAAAGTTAGAGATGGCTTTTTCAAACCTTCACAAAGTGTAATTAAAGTTAGCAAAGCAACAAAACAAAACACTACAAAAAAGTGATAACAATTTTAATAAAATATTGCATAGTTGATGATATTTCAGTTGTGGAACAATATAAACATGCCCTCAGAGTTTCAAAAATTAGAAAACCATTTACAAAAATGTTTGATACAATGTTTTTATCATGTTTTATACTTGTAAAGTTACTTTCCAGCTACTATTGCTAAGTAAGGTCGCATCAAATTGTTAAAATAAACACCCAAAAGTAACCAGATCAAATATCAATTTGTCTTTCAGAAAAGTTTTATTTAGAATATCATGAATTCAATAAATTTAACAAGTTCATAGAAAGCAATACAAATATTTTTATTTCTTTATAGCGGTATTTCTCTTCGTCGTTAATGTTTTGCGTGTTTTTGATTCCCTTTTATAATTTTTACACCTTCAAACATTTTAAATATAATAATATCATTGAAATATGTGACTTGGTCGAGTAGATATAAACGAAGTAAAAAGGTACATCTTCAAGCGCAATCACTGTATTTTCGGTATTCTGGGGCTTTCTAATATGGCGGCCGTACAAAAAATTGACTTCACTTTTGATAATAGAGATGCGCTATCCAGTTATTATAGAGATCAGTGTTTGGTTGCAAAAACATCCTCCGTAGAAACTTTTTTTTAAAAAAACAAGCTAAAAAGCTAATCTTTCTTACGTTTTTTATACATTTTTTTATTGTTTTGCATGATGCGAATAATGGTAATATATATATAATTTATGTATAAATAATTTAAACTCATCAAATACTAAATACTTTTGCAAACCTCATCTTTAATTGTTTGCTGTCAAAATAAGCGTGTTCAAATCAAGGTGATCATTTTGTGTTTACTAAAATCTACAATTAATATAATTAAAATAAGTTATTTATGTGTGCTTAAAATACAAAATAGATTTAATTTTTAGCTTCGTATGTAACTTACAATTATAATTAACGTATACTTTATATTTTAGAAATGTCATGAATAAGTCTCAAAATCTAGTCCACTTTGAGAATCAAAATCAACAAGATCTCACATACCCAAAGTTTTAGAGCCACTTATTAATTTGAATAAAATGTTATTGGTCGGTTTAATAGCTTATCAAGTTTAGAGAAGTCAGTTTATTCGAGATGTAAAAGAGTTGGTGCAGAATTATCTGATTTATAGCGTAAGCTTAATTTACCAAAAATAAATGAATGGTCTATAACAAAAAAAGTGGAAGTTCTCATTAACAAATATCATTCAGTTCAAAAATCTAAACAATGTCTTGAAGAAAATTGGGATTATTTATTTGATATAACTAAAATAAATGGTAACTGGCTTAGCAACGAAGACAAAGCATTATTCTTACAAGTGGATACTAATGGTCAAATTGGTTATTGTATATAAAAACTGTTAAAGTACATCTATCTAAGGCTGGCAGGAAGAGACCTAGCATACCTGAAACAGATAGAGGTTAGTGACAACAATAAAGAAGGCAATGAACAAAATGATGGAAAAAATTATATTCCTCCAGACAAAAAAGTTAAGAGAAAATATGAGAACACCACTGTGGCTGTTAACTTAGTTAAAAAGTCAAAACTAAGTATTAAGAAATCAGCAGAACTTTGCAAAAATTTATCTGAATGTGGTGTCAATGCATAAGCCCCATCTAAATCTGGGGTTTATAGAGTTACAATATCAGCAGCTCAAAAAATGGAAAAGCTCATGATAAGTATTGGATAAATTTTAACTATAGAGTAGTATTAAAGTTATAATATCTGATGCTAAAATTGTGAATACTGGTAGTAGAAATGAAGTTGTAATTCAACTGCAAAGAGAACTTGAAAGAAAAGTTTTTAAACCATTTCAATTTATTAGTACCAGCATCATGTGTTGGGCACAATTTTGAAACATACTATGAATGAAATTCTTAATGAAAGAGTGTCAAAATTGCCAGAATTACATTACAGATTTATTGAAAACCTGCAAAAAAATTATGAAAAATTGAATTGAAAAATTGTTGAACAAATTTGTAATATGAAGACTAATAAATGGAGAGACGACATGGATATTTTGTCCGACTTGGTACAAAGTTACCGATACATAAAGGTGAATGGCAGTTTTCCAGCTATAAACTTTAAAAGTCTCCCATCGTTGCACAATGCCAGATAGAATTCAAGAGCAATCTATGCCCTTCTGGCTTTTATTTTAACTGAATCGGATAATAATTAATTGCGCTTGATTTGCAACTTCATTGCATCAACTTGTTCTGACTCTAACTTGTTCTTGGTTTTCTGACATGCAATACTCAGATAATGATTTAAACAATTTAAAACATGCAATAACTTCAACTTCAGCCATGCAATAACTTCAACTTCAGCCATGCAATAACTTCAACTTCAGCCATGCAATAACTTCAACTTCAGCCATGAAGACCTTAAAAAGAT